TACAAAAATTAGTCGGGCATGGTGGCACGCACCTATAATCCTAGCTACTCAGGAGGCTGAGTCAGGAGAATCACTTGAACCCAGGAGGAGGAAGTTGCAGTGAGCTGAGATTGTGCCACTGCGCTCCAGCCTGCACGACAGAGTCTCAAAAGAATAAAAATGAAAATAAAAAATAAAATGATGATGCCGAGACAAAATTGTTCAGCTTATGTTAAATGAAGGCACCAGCTCACAAAATTTACTTACAACAACTGGATATACAAGACAATGTGTGCATATGGATCAGACTGGAGGAACAGTACTTGGCAAACAAAAACAGCTTACTTATTAGGATGATAGAACTGCCTTGCCCAGTGCCTGGAATCAAACACATGTTTACCAAATATGTGTTGATAATAAAAATAAAAATAAAATAATAAAAATGAGAAAATCTGATATGCCATATAACTGTGAATACTGGTCTCTGTTAGCCAATCATTCAGAGATAATACCACCCCTTTTTGACATAATTTTGTTGTTTTACTTCTTTTTTTCCCCTTTACTTCATGCAATACTATTTCCAAAGAAATTGGTGTCATCAGAAAAGTCTGCAGAGTCTATGAATATGGGGCTTAGTACACAGAACTGGATAAAGGTCACTCATGCATTTCTGATATCTAAAGCCAGGAGAAGCATTTGCAGATAGGCATGAGACCGGCTGTTTATTCATTAGTTGGCTGGCTGTCCTTGGGAAAAACAAGCCCTTAGGATCTCAGACAGATCTGTGACTGGGTTTAGATAGGCCTTTAAATACTTTAATATGAAATGTCAAGATCAAACACACTGGGTCAACGAAGACAGATGAGCTCTTCAAAGAGTTAATATTTGAAAACTTTTATTTTCTCAAATGAGCACCAACACAGATTGGAAATATGACAGAAACAATGCACTTTTCTCTAATACTGAATCACTATGTACAAATACGGGAAAAGGTGAAGACAAATTATTTGAAAACAATTACCTTTGTTATAGAAGCATAGTGACCTGAAAAATGCCACCAAAGAAAATAAAAACCCAAACCCAACAAACACAGTTTGTAAACACAAGCATAAATAGACAGATTCTGTATTGGAAGATAGTCTCTGCAGGTTGGGAAAGGGACCGACTCCCACTGTCACCAAAATGTTATACAAAAACATATGGGCAGATAGAATTTGGTAACATGAGAATAGCTTTCAGTTTCTTCTTGGCTTTACCTTTTACTGCCAGTAGATTTCATAACTATTTTAATTTAAAAAAATTAAATATCTCTTTCCTCTATCTAGACAACTAGTATATTTTCTCATTTGAGGCAGATTCCTTTAAAATATGTAAGTTGATTGTGTTCAAGATTTGATTTCTCAGCCTCTTTCTGAACCTGAGGCAATCTGACCTTAAAAAAAAAAAGCTGTTTATCACTAAGATATGTGTATTATTTTATTAATGTTCTTTTAATCCAAACCAGTTAATGTTTAACATGATGTGGCTTCTAAAACAGCTGGAGCCCTGCGATACGTGATTAATACACTCTCATCTCAGTTAGAAGCACAGATTTGACTGTGCTCCATCATCACAAACAACAGATCTCCTTTACAGTCTGGAAAAGCTGAGCACACAAAGCAAGAAAAAGGAGCAAACCTGCAACAGCTCCATGCTCAGGAAAACAGAAAATCCTCGTGGGTTCTGCTGTTGGTCCACTCAAAAACAGAAACAACCAGAGAAAAAGAGAAGAAAAACTGTATGCGCCCGAAGTGTAAACTGTAGTTACAGTGTCCCCACTCGAGAAAACAGGAGGCACAATTGAAAGTGCTTTTTACACACACGCGCACGCACACACGCACAACCAAAAACGTGATTCTGATTTGTTGGAAATTCTTCCAACAGGAAGAATCACTGTAAGTTGTTACTACTAAATTAACTTGGTTTTATTTATTTTCTTTTCTAGTCAATACTGATGCAAGAAAATATTTCAATTCTCAACCTGATTAATGTACTGCAGAGTCTGTTCCACTGGGGAAAAAATGCAGAGAGGCATTGCTTTAAAGCCTTGATCCAGATTAAAGTGATAGATAGAGACCTTAAAAAAAAAAAAACAAAATAAAAAACCGAAAACGTGTATTGGTGATCACTGTTTCCCTTAAAATATACTTCATGAAATGCAAAGGAAACCATAAAATTTAAAATGAAAATAAAAAGTGCTCTCAGGGGATCTGAGAAAACAGCACCAAATATATTATTTAAAAAATTAAATATTATTTACAAAAGTATATTTTACAAGCAACTGTTTCTTTTATATATATCCACTTGAAAATCTCTTTCTAAAGGGTCATCTCTTTTGCACACACTGATCCACCAGTAAAAATGTACTCTAGCCTATCCTCGTGAACTCAGGAAGAACACTCAGTCAGGTCCAGCTGACAGCTTGTGGGTATCGAGTTTGGCTGTATTTGATTCATGTCAAATCAATCCATCAGCAGCCTGAGACTAATGTCCCGGGTCCCGAGGGGTCTGGGTCTACTCCAGGGTGGCCAAGGTCGTATGACCTAGGGTGGCACAGGGGAGATGGAGCTAGAGAGTCTGCTGGCTGGACTTCAGTTCCAAACGAAGGCAGCTGCTGGCTGAGGTATAGAACTTCATGCTTTTCCCTTTCTCAAGTCTCCTTACTCCGTCTCCACTCCCCACACCCCGCCCCCAGACTTCACCAACAAACTCCAATTCCCCCAACCCACCTGGGGTGAATGAATGAGGTCTTTGGTTACGCTCTAAGTCAATAATTTGGTGAGGAAATTAAAGAATGAACTGACTGAGGCCATGAGTTAATTTAGCATCTCCATAGCTCAGCTGTGGCCTCTCCAAGGCTGCTCAATGTTAGATAGACAACCCATGAACAGAGTGAATGTTGTAAGAAGCACTTTTGGTTTCACTGACACAAAGGGAAAGCCTAATGAGTTTTTTTCCCCTGTAATTACGGAAAAACCAACACTCTACTCAGCTCTCTCACAGCAAGTATGGCGCCTTGCACCCACTGGAGGCTCACTGGATAGTCATCGAAAAAAAAAAACACTCAGAACCAGGGTCTGACTGGAGCCTGCTCTGATCCATGCAACAGTCAAAGGCCTCATCCCCAAGGAAGAACAGTGGCACATCGGTCTTCTTCTCTGCCCCCCTGGAAACTTGAGGGCACCCCATGTCTAGCTGATGTCACCACATTCCATTTTCAGTTTGAAAGACAAAACACCTACCCCATGGTTAACCCCCATTTTCTTCCTATGGGAAAGACTATCAATAAATAGCCAGGACAATCCCTGAGGAAAGGGTCTAAGGAAAATCCATGAAGGAAGACTTTCCCTGAGGAGGGGAAGGGAGAGAGGGGAAATCCATGGCTTCTGTGCCGGGAAGCCGGCTTAGGAATGTGAAAGTTGTAAAACGATTTCATTGAGAACTTGGGCCTGTGAGCCAGAGAAACTGTTCTTCTGGGAGCAGAAATTCAATATTTCTTCTGAACCTCAGTCTACCTTGCAGTAAAGTGGGAAGAACAACTTGACCTCCCAGGGCTGTGAAAGCACTGGAAAGATCTGGACAGAAGCCTTGGGGAACAAAAGTCAATTTCTAAGAATCCATTTGTCTTACAGGGGCTCTCTCCTGAGAATCCTGGAGCTATCCTGGTTTCTGTCAGTCCTGCCACCTGCCCCTGGCAGGGCAAGCCCACACCTGTCTTGGGGCTCCCATTCCACCATCAGTGCGTGGAGACACACAAAAAACCATTTCCACCAAGGATGCGCTCCGAACAGAAATTGGTTCTGCTGCAGATGTGATTCTGAAAAGCTCCTGGGCTGTTGGCTGCTTTCATCTCAGTTCATCGCTTTACAGAGTCTCTCCATCAACTCATTCTTTTGTGAGACTTTTAGGGTGAATTTTCCGAGAGGGTCGGCCTACTTGGAGAAGGAGATGCTGAGAATTACCTAACACGCACAATAATATATTCAGTCTAGGAAATGAAACGAACCTAGTTAAGTGAGTTTCAGTCATATACTGTGGACTGGCTGAATTGCTGTAGAACAGACTTCACAGTGTTGATTAAATGTAACAAACTCCTCTTTCTCTTATGGGCCTTACAGGGATGCTCTCCACTTCCCTAATCGAAGGATGTTTGGATGTGGGGAAAGGGTAACATCGGATTTGGGCAGAACTCCCTGCTGCTGGACCACATTGACAGCAGATTTCTCTCCGTGCAAGACATTCAGACCTAAGTGGGGCAATTAGGGGCATGAGGAATCTACCAGCCAGGTTATTACTAAGCTCAGAGCCTGGGGCCCATGCTTTCTACAGTCTACAGTAACAGGACTGGAGAAACACACCCGAAACTCTACGAACAAGAAATTGTCGATCCCACGGAAGCCACTGTAAAACCAAAGAGGAAAGATGGACCAAACCTGAACTGGTTCCAATCTAAACCCCTCCAGGGATTACCCCTACCCAGTCCCCTCCCTCACCACACTCCTCTTATGAGGGGTCAGAAGGAAGGGCAGTAAGAATTGCTAATTGATCCTACTTTTTATTTCTCTGGCTCAATATCTGAGCCATTTCTTCAGAGCTCCCAAACTGCAGCCCCTTTGTGCCCTGCTCTCCTCAATTACTGATTTTACTTGGTTGCTGGTCAAAGCCTTTGGGATATTTGGATGTTAAGCCCATTGCAAATGACAGTCCCCTCACACCTTATCTACGGTGCCTAAAGAGGCAAAGATGATGATTGCCCAGAGACTGAGCGAGGCACCAGAGTCATCGCACCCACCGGGCCACTGCCCAAGTCACTCACTGCTGCCAGAACACTCCCCCACTCAGCCCAGGAGCACCAGGCCCTCGTCCCGCCGACTAGAATCAGGGCCACATCTTTGTGCTCATTTGCTAACCTGGCACATTTGGTGTCAGGAACAGAAACTTCTGGTCAGAGAGAATGCAGTCATGAGGTATTTTTTTTTCTCTTTGTCCTTTTAGTCAAGTCAATTATTTCAAGCCTAAGTTATCAGGTCTGCAGGAGCAGCGCAATTTTGTTCCTACCTCCACACCCTTCCACCCCTTCCCCGCGCCAGGACCCTTAACAGTTTCCCCTTTCCCTCTTCCTCACGCCCCCATGCCACTGCTCTCCTGACAAGAGGCCATCAGGCAGCTCTCGCACGGGCCCTGGGGCCCTTACCAAGGTGGGCTGCCGCCATGCGGTCAAGGATCTGTTCCTTTTGTTGTTTTGTTTTCAGCCAAAACTAGAACAGAGAGAGAAGCCAGGATCAACTCACAAACAGATACAAAGCAAAGAGACAGAGAGACAGCGATTTAGAGGCCGGTCACCAGAAAGATGGCGTCAGGGTGGGAGGATGCCCCAGATGGCAAGGCCCCTAAATGGATGGAACCAAGTGTCAGTCACTCTCTCACGCTTGGGAAGAATGTTCAGTTGAATGGCGTTCACGTGGACACTGGGTTGGGTAGATGCTGTCCAATCAGTCCCAGCCATTGTCCTTGATCATGTGTGCTAGTTCAATGATGTATTTGCCTTCTTTATATTTCTGGCTGCTTTCAAAAGCATGTTCCTAGGAAATACAGAGGAAGAGAAGAGATACTGAACAACCGAAGACAAGAAAATGATTTTTTTTTTTTGAGGCGGAGTCTCACTCTGTCACCCAGGCTGGAGTGCAATGACACAATCTCAGCTCACTGCAACCTCCGCCTCCCAGGTTCGAGCGATTCTCTTGCCTCAGCCTCCCAAGCAGATAGGATAACAGGCACCCGCCACCATGCCTGGCTAATTTTTGTATTTTTAGTAAAGAGGGGGTTTCACCATGTTGGCCAGGCTGGTCTCTAACTCCTGAGCTCAGGTGATCCACCCACCTTGGCCTCCCTCATACCTGCTGGGATTATAGACATAAGCCACTGCACCCGGCCAAGGAAATGACTTTTGTAGCAGAAAAGCAGGGGCGGATGACAGGTATCAGCATCACCGTGGTCTGGTCCCAGCTTCACCCTGACTCAGTGAGATGATTCCTACCCCTCAAGTGCTTTATGTCCCCCTCGCTTAGCTGCAGAACTGAGGCAACACCAGGACTTTCACAACATTACAACAGAATTTTCCAGGAGCTTCGCTCATTTAAGTCTTTGCAATGTCACCCCCTCAGTAAGGTCTTCCCCAACTACCCTACTTAAAATCCAACTTCCACTCCAGTACTCCCTTTCTGCCTTCTGCCCCAACCCCTGCTTTAGTTTTCTCCGCTGTACTTCTCCCTTCTGAACATACATTATAATTTGCATTTCTATTTTGTTTATCCTCTGTCTCCCATGACTACAATATAAACTTCATTCTGTGCATAGACTTTCATATTTAGTTCATGGCTGTAGCCTTAGAAGACTGCCTGGCACGTAATAGAATTTCAATACATAATTGCTGAATGAATTAGTACATTTACATATATATATAAATCTTGGTTTCTGGTGCTAACGGAAGTTTGCCCTGTGGAGAGATCCATAAAGTTTCTGTGTCATTCCTGCTAGTTTCTAAGAACACAGGAAAGCCTGGTTCTAATTTTAAATTGTACTTGTTAGGCTTAGAGATGACAGGGAGAGGAACAAAATACTCAAGAGGCCAGACAGGTCTCCTTTTCAATCAGTTTTTCTTGCTGCTTCTATGTCAGATGTGTGGAGACAGGAGCTGTATAAACTCCAGGCCAGAGAACCTGGCAGCCCTCAAGCCCCACCCAACTGCCAGCCCCCCAGAGGGAGAATGTCATACTAACCACCTGGCAGGTGACTTTTCTAAACCCACAGCACTGTGGGCTCTCCCAGCGAATAAACCCCCCCGAAAGAAGTCCTGCAGAGGCAGAGGATAAAGGGCTCTTTTGTTTGCAGAGATACACGCGTAAGAACATCTTGGTGTATTCTCCGAAAAACACTGGTCATCTGTGTCTCAGCTCCATATGCACAAGCAGTGGACATCAGCCCTTCCCGGAGCCCCCAGAATTAGTAAGGAATTGAGGTGTACCCTTGGGGGTTCTGGGTGACAGTTGTATCAACTGTGTTTTCTGTTCTAGAGCTCATGGGCTTTGAATTTCAGAACAAGAGCTCAGGCACACCACAGCAGCAATTTCCCTGACACTTCATTATTCCCTGTCTCTGTGCACACACATGCACACATGCGTGTATACGCACGACAGAGAAATGTGTTTTGGGAATAAGGTCCACTGTTCCACAGTAATGTGTTTGGGCGGGAAGGAGGAGAAAGCAAAACTAAGAAAATGAGTTTCCCATTACAGAAAAAAAAAATTTCGGCTGGGCGTGGTGGCTCACACCCATAATCCTAACCCTTTGAGATGAGGCAGGAAGATTGCTTGAGGCCAGTTTGAGACCAGCCTGGGGAACATGACAAAACCTCACCTCTACCAAAAAAAAAAATTCAAAAATCAGCTGGGTGTGATGTCATGCACCTGTAGTCCCAACTACTTGTGAGGCTGAGGCAGGAGGATCATCTGGGCCCAGGAGGTCGAGGCTGCCGTGAGCAAGACTGCACCACTGCACTCCAGCCTGGGGCCTGTCTCAAAAAAATAAAATAAAATAAAATAAAATAGAACTGGGAGATTCACACCTACTTCACAGAGGTAACAATGGGGTGGCTCACGCCTATAATCCCAGAACTTTGGGAGATCAAGGTGGGTGGATCACCTGAGGTCAGGAGTTTGAGACCAGCCTGACCAACATGGTGAACCCACGTGTCTACTAAAAATACAAAAAATTTAGGGCTGGGCGCAGTGGCTCATGCCTGTAATCCCAGCACTTTGAAAGGCCGAGGTGGACGGATCACAAGGTCAGGAGTTCGAGACCAGCCTGACCAACATGGTGAAACCCCGTCTCTACTAAAAATACAAAAAAATTGGCCAGGCATGGCGGCACATGCCTGTAATCCCAGCTATTCTGGGGGCTGAGGCAGGTCCTGTTTGAACCCGGGAGGTGGAGGTTGCAAGTGAGCCAAGATCACACCATTGCACTCCAGCCTGGGTGACAGAGCGAGACTCCATCTCAAAAAAAAAAAAAAAAGGAAGGTGCCCTGGGCTTGCACATAGGAGGTGACGGATGCATATTTGGGGTCCTTGCTGTGCTGTGCACATCCCAGTGCTTGTCAGGCTGTTTGATCTGTTTTCACGTTGGTTTTCCTCCTGAGCTGCCATCATGACTGTCAGCGCTTTGAGGGCAGGCACTGGATCTTGTCAATTTTTTTGGTATTTAGTCAAAGGCTTTTGATAAACCTTTGTCAAAAGCATGAATCATTTTATCTGAACCTCAAGCATGGAGCAAAACCAACCAACTCAGGCTTGTCGTGTATCTTCAATCCAGCACATCTTCAGGGCAGTAAGACAGCCAAGAGGCTGGGAAACACGGGAAGGGGAGAACTTTTCTGCACTTGATCTTAGCCAAAAGGCCGAGAAGCAATGAAGAACATTTCTGGATAATCACAAGCAGAACTGTGTCTCCCACCCCAGATCACCCAGAGGGGGCCCATGACTGTACAGAGGGAACAGAATGGCCAAGTCCAGCTTCTCCCACAGGAACAACCAAGTCGACCATAGGAAGCTGTGGCTAACCCGTCTTGGCACCACACAACACACTGTCTAGGTTTTTTTTTTAATTTTGGGACAGAGTCTCACTCTGTTGCCCAGGCTGGAGTGCAACGGCATGATCTCGGCTCAACGTAACCATTTATTAATTTTGAGACAGAGTCTCACTCTGTTGCCCAGGCTGGAGTGCAACGGCATGATCTCGGCTCAACGTAACCTCCGCCTCCTGGGTTCAAGCAATTCTCCTGCCTCAGACTCCTGAGTAGCTGGGATTACAGGTACCCACCACCACGCCTGGCTAATTTTTGTATTTTTGGTAGAGATGGAGTTTTACTATATGTTGGCCAGGCCGGTCTCAAACTCCTGACCGCAGGTGATCCACCCACCTTGGACTCCCAAACTGCTGGGGTTACAGGCCTGAGCTATTGTGCCTGGCCCCATTTTTGTTTGTAATCCTGAACATTTCCAGAGAATGGGGAAAATGGAATCTGAAGGCAGTGCTACCAGGCTCCACTGCAGATTCCACCTGGGGCAGTTTTTTTTTGTTTTGTTTTTTTAATGATTTCCACAGTTTCAAACTATTTCAATGGAATCATAATTCTGTGCCTGGCATCTATTGCTCACATTATTTTATATGTGTATAAATATATTTTTTTCCCCAAAAGATGTTATTTTTAGAGCAGCATTAGGGTCACAGCAAAACTGAGCAGAAAGTACAGAGATTTCCCACATACCCGCTTACCCACCTCCAGATTCCCCCACTATCAAAATCCCACACCAGATTGGAACATTTGTTACAATGGATGAACCTACATTGACATATCATTAGCACTCTGCGGCAGGTTTGACAACTCCTTCAGGCTCCTTCAGAAGCCAGAGGCAGTTCATGAGCCATATGACAGGATAGGGAATTTGAGACATTTTACATGGACTAAATTGCCTTCCCAGAGACAGGAAGACCAACTTTTCACTATCTTCACAATGACAGGGAGGGCAAGAATAGAAAGAATTGTGCAATGCATGGATGTACACATGCAGGCTGAAAAAATCTGCCAATAATAATAACAATAACAATTTAAGTAAATTTTCACTGACATATGCTCTATGCAAGGTGAAGACGGGCATGATACTATTTAACACTCAAACCAACTCTGTAAGTATGAGGAAACTTAGCATAGAAGCTAAGTAGCTCGTCCAAGGACACACAGACAAATAAGTCATGGAGCCCAAATTTGAACCTCACTCTAGCTGCCTAGATGGTTCTTAACCGCTAGCTAGAGGGATTATAGGGGCAGTGTCTATGGTTATGTGGTGACCCCAGCGCATGTTAGAACAATCAGTCCCTGGTGTTGAAGCAGATCCTGGTCCTTCTCTCCTCTCACTCTGGCAAAGGACTGCTCACTTTTCCTAGGCCCCAAAGGGACCTTAACATTTTTTGCTGAGTTAAACAATGAAAGAATAATTGTCCATTTGGGAGACGTCCAGCCATGACTACATCTGACAGTGGATGTTAATTAAGGCAGTTTTCGATAATGACTTGCTCAGGGCCTGGGACCTAGGTGTTTTAGGAATATTTATTGGGTTCTTGATCAGGCACGGTAGCTCATGCCTATAATTCCAGCACTTTGGGAGGCCAATTTGGGAAGACTACTTGAGCTCAGGAGTTTGAGGCCAGCCTGAGCAACACAGTGAGACCCTGTCTCTATTTATTAAAAAATAAATTTGTTGGCCAGGCACGGTGGCTCACACCTGTAATCCCAGCATTTTGGGAGGCTGAGGCTGGAGCATCACCTGAGGTCAGGAGTTCGAGACCAGCCTGGCCAACATGGTGAAATCCTGTCTCCACTAAAAATACAAAAAATAAGCCAGGTGTGGTGGTGCATGCCTGTAATCCCAGCTACTTGGCAGGCTGAGGCAGGAGAATTGCTTGAATCCGGGAGGCGGAGGTTGCAGTGAGCCGAGATTGCGCCATTGCACTCCAGCCTGGGCGACAGAGCGAAACTGTCTCAAAATAAAATAAAATAAAATAAACAAAATAAAATAAAATAAATTTGTTTAATATTTAAAAAAGAGCATGGGCTCTGTGTCAGAATACTACTACATGGTCACCTCCTTTGAGAATGAAAAATTTAGAAATAAAAAATAAATAACAGAATATTACATGGATTCCTATCCTGGTGTGGCTATTAAATGGCTAGATTGCCTTGGACATATTGTTAACCTCCGTAAGTCTCAGTATCCCTATCCATAAAATAGAGGTGAAGACAGCACCTAACCTCTAAGGCTGCTGATGTATGGCTGGCATACAGTGAGCTGTCAAGAAAGGTTATATGCCATTACTATTATTATTTATTAAATCGAAAGGGGTGTGTGTCTCGGGGTAGTTGTGAAGGAATGAATAGGAGGAGAGAAATATATCAACAGAAAGGAAAGAATGAGCGTGGTAGACAGGTGACTATCCTGGTCTAAGACAATCCCACAAGGCCATGGAAAGTCAGTAGAAGAAAGTGTTCTTCTGGCATAGGCTCTTGGCAATTCCCTTCCAGCCCTCTACCAACCAGACTCTTTTATACTTACGTATTTCCAGCCCAGAGTGGTTTTGCAGTTTTCACAGTAAATGTCTGCGACTGCATGCAGTCCTGTTAGCAACACTCGCTCTTCTGCAGGCCCACAGCCCACATTAACTCTATGTTGAGGCACAAAAAGAGAGAGTGGGTAGTCAGTGACATGCACATCAGTCATTCAAGCTGAGCTTCCAGCAAAAATTAACTGGGCAAGGCTGCCCCAAAGGGAGCCAACCCTGGGCTGAGCGGGTCTAAACCGATCTCCAAAAGGTGGCCACAGGGAAATATCTCAGCTGGAAGGAATTTCAGATCTGCAAGTTCTAGTGGAGTGGGTCTACAGAAATAATCTTTATGGTTGAGTTTCCTTAAAATTGTAATTTGTCTAACAAATACTTCCAATCTGTGACTTAGGGGGACAAGCTGACAGCCACACTGTGAAGTCCACAGCCATAGGCACAGGTCCTCACAGCTTACTGAGGACTGAATGAAGCTGATGCCACACATGGCAGCACACAGTGGTCCTCATACAGGAATGAGTGATCCCTGGGTGCTGAATAGGCTCTACTCCTTCACAGGGTGCCCAGCTCAAGCCACAGGCCAGATTTCCATTTTTACAGTTTATCAGGCTTATGTGGGCTTCACCTTCCCTTCCTAGGCAAGAGGTGATAAACCTGGTGCCCAGGAGTGGCTGAGGGCCCTGGAAACTACACATCTGCCCGAAGTGGGCCTTCCTTCCTCCTTAGGTCCCATGGCAGATCTTGGTATCTTATTCACCCCTATTCTCTTCCCCAGTGACATATCTCAGATCTCATTATGAGTCCTCCATGTTGAGGCTCTCAGAATCTCCTCAGCTTCTTCCCTGTGGGACTACAGTCCTCTGATGTGCCCTCTGAGGGGAGTGTAGTGAATATATTATTTTTAGCCAGAGATGTTGGCAAGAAATGTTCCCCAAAGGTAACTGACTACCAATTGTGGAGAGTAATGCTCCACAGAGTTTTACTGTGGCAGAGAGGGCAGGGTTCATTGTTTAATCATCATCAAGGATTGCTTTTTCCCAGCCCTTGAATCTGCACCCCACAAGGAATGTACCATTCAGAGGCACTCACACTGAGTTAAAGAGGTATGCTCGTCCTTGACTTCCTTGGAACGACTGAAACGCAAGAAAACAAATCGATAGTTAGACATCCATTTCACCCACCTGTTTGGGAAACCAACCCCAATCGCAATAAGCATGACCTTCCAGGACTGACACAGCAAAAGGGAGTACTGAGCCAGTTAATGGTGCCGCTGGCAGATGGCGTGGGGGCGGAGAAGATGGCAGAATAAACAGAGCCACAAAGCTCGATCTGGCCCACTGGACTGTGTTCACTAGCCCAGGTGAGAAAATAAAAACCCAAACCCACCATGTCATTAAAAACTTCTTCCCTCCTGACATTGCCTGATACAATTAATTCACCTGAGATCATTAATCCGCATTGGCATTCCTGGTCCCACTTGATTTCAGCCATCTGTGCTGGCCACAGCTTTCCCAGGCTGGCCCAGGCATGGAAACCACCACAAGCTCTTTTGCTTGGCCTCTTGGTCCAGCCCTAACAAAGGCAGCAAAAAATCCCCAACCCAAGAATAAACTATCCAACCCACACTCATCGCTTGTCATGCCTTCTAGAAGATTCTAAGGACAGTTTACAATCCTAAATGGGAGCATAGGAGCTCTTTTGAGATGTAAGCAACTCGATCTCTGCATCACAGAAACGCTCATGAAGCAGCAATTCCACTTTAACCTCTAGCTTTACACAGGGGTTTCTTTCTTCTGGCTGGAGGGAGGCATGGAACAGGAGAAACAGGAGCCAGAGCCTGCCATGCAATCTGGCATCTGCTTTCATTAACACAGGCCCTGTCCATGTTTTCTCTCTCTGGTTACACTGAGAAGCCTGCCTGACATGAGCCAGCCATGTTCTGCACTGCTGCCTGCATTTTTAATGTGGCCTAACAACGGTGTCCTGAATTTAATATCTTAGTCTGCCCTGAAAAGCAACCAACAAACAAGGAGGTGAGTGGCTAACAGATGACCAGAGGGTAGGTGAGCACCAGACAGGACTCAGATTAGCACGCGAGACAACCATTTTTGTCAGATGTGCAGGACATCAGAGATCAGTGCTGCAGGCCAGCGTGAAAGACAAAATTATTATTTTTTTTTTTTTGAGATGGAGTCTTGCTCTGTCACCCAGACCAGAATGCAGTGGTGCGATCTCGGCTCACTGCACCTCCATCTCCTGAGTTCAAGCAATTATCCTGCCTCATCGGTGTCCTGTCATGGGTGGCACCCAATGACACCCATGTTCTGGACTCTTCATGTTCCCTGCATTTCCTTTTTCTTTCTTTCCTTTTTCTCCCCCCCAGGATAGAGAGTCTCACTCTGTCACCCAGGCTGGAGTGCAGTGGTGTGACCGTGACTCACTGCAGCCTCCACCTTCTGGGCTCAAGCGATCCTCCTGCCTGAGCCTCCTGAGTAACTGGGACCAAAGGTGCATACCACCATAACCAGCTATTAAAAAAAAAATTATAGAGACAGGGTGTTGCCATGTTACCCAGATTGGTCTTGAACTCCTAGGCTCAAGCAATCCGCCTGCCTCAGCTTTCCAAAGTGTTGGGATTACAGGCGTGAGCCACTGCACCTAGCCTGTTTGCCTTTGTCTTTAGCATCCTGGATTGAAATCATCTGTTTATTTATCTCACTCCCTCAGTAGACTGTGAGCTCCCTGAAGGCATGCGCCATGTCTTCAATCTCTCTCTGAATGCCCAACACATAAGCACGTGCATCTGGCACACAATAGTCATTTATTAAATATTCTGAGTCAGTTACATTGTCTCTAGTTTCTTTCGTTTTCTATAAACAACTTTACTGAACTATAAGTGACATAATAAATGGTATATATTTGAAGTGTACTATTGGATGAGTTTTAATATCTGTCTATATCTGTGAAACCATCACCGCAATCAAGATTAAACTGCCCATCACACCCAAACATCTCCTCATATCCCTCTGAATCCTCCCCTCTGAATCCTCTTACCACTTATAGATCCATAGGTGATTACAGTTTTCTGTCACTATAATTTATATTTTCTGGAATCTTTTTTTGAGACAAGGTCTCACTCTGTCACCCAGGATGGAGTGTAGAGGCACGATCATGGCTCACTGCAGCCTTGATCTCCTGGGCTCAAGTGATCCTTCTGCCTCAACCTCCCGAGTAGCTGGGACTACAGGGGTGCACCACCGTGCCTGGCTAATTTTGGAATTTTTGTAGAGATGGAATCTTGCCATGTTGCCCAAGCTGGTCTCCTGAGCTCAAGTGATCCACCCAATCTGCCTGCCTTGGCCTCCCAAAGTGCTGGGATTACAGATGTGAGTCACCACGTCCAGTCCAGAATTTTATTAAACAAACGAAATGTATTTTCATTTACAGTGTATATGTGTTTGACTTTTTTCACTCAGCACAATTCTTTTAGGATTCATCCATGTTGAACATATCAACAATTTATTCCCTTTTTGCTGCTGAGTAGTATTCTATTCTATGGATATCACAGTTCTTTTTGGTTTGGTTTTGATAAGAGATTTGAACTGGCTGATCTTCAAATCCCCTTCTAGCTTCAAAATTATATTGTCTTATTATTCCATGGTCCTAAGTTACAGGTAATTTGGAATGTCATCCTCTAAGAAACATTTGCTAAGACCTTCAAGTTCAGAGCTTAGAAGAAGGTGGCTATTGAGAACCAAATCCCAGAAGAAAGCAGACAGGAAAGTAACAGGAAGCAACAGAGCTTCACCATTAATGACAGAGAAAGGCTTTGAATAATGCATTCACTTCTTTCTCACCCCTGGATCACTGACTCTCTGCCAGACACAATTAGAAATACAGGGAGACAGGCAACACTGTGAGACTTACCAGGGCAGCGGTATCCCAGCAAGGTGTGCAAGACAATCCCCCAGACAACCCTTTTCTCCAGGGCAGTGAGGAAACACTAGCTCATTTTATATATTTTATCTTTAAAAAATAAGTTTTGCTAAACGGTTACAATACATGGATTGCCACTAGGCCTTCCCTGGACTGGCATGTGTCCTGTATGTATAGGTATCTGGAAGGAAGGGGCTCCACTGTGGGGGTCAGAGGTGACAAAGGTGTTCTTCTGCCTCTGCTTTCAGCATACTGTGAATACTATTGTTTCTGTGAATAAGGCTAATCTTATTTTTTTGAAAAACAAGATCATTAAATAACAGGATCTTTGCAATGTTTTGCATATGAGATGGAGTACTACAAAGGGGTCCACTTACGGTAAAGTACCTGAACCCTGTGCTATAGAGAGAACTGGCTTTTGTCAATATTTTTACCTTATATTATTTTTGTGGCTAAAAAAATGATATGCTTGTACAAAAATTAATTTGAAATGGAGGATATTCAGAAGAAAATCTCTGTGACCTTGTGTTAGAAGACAGTTCTTAGATACACCAGAAACACAATCTATAAAAGAGAAAAAAACTGATAAACTGAACTTCATCAGAATCAGTCCACATCAAAATGGTTAAATATTTTTTCTTTAACTGACAAAACCAAGTGTTGGCATGAATATGTAGCAACTGGAACTCTCAAACATTGCAGAACAGTACAGCAACTTTGGAAATGAGGCTGGCAATTTCACTTACCCAAGTGAAACGAAAGCCTATGTTCACACAAAAACCTGTATGAGAGTGTTTTTAACAGCTTAATTCATAATCGCCCCAAAATGGAAACAACCTAAATGTCTCAAATGGTAACTGGGTAAGTAGACTGGTATATCCATATAATACTATTCTGTAATAAAGAGGAACAAACTATTGATATACAGAACAACACGGATGAATTTGAAACACATTACGCTAAGAAGATTGGTAAAAAGAATATTTAACTGTAAGAGTTAGTAAGAGAGATGGAATTGATCTGTTATCTTGGTAACAGAAGAACGGTACTCTTAGGCCCTATAACAAAAGAAAGTCTTATAATCACTATTAGACTATATATTTGTAAGACTATAAAACTAAATAGACTGTAAGACGCCCAGGTCCTAAGACTTATCTATGTTAAAACTCATATGACTCATATTCAAAGAGTGAATTTTACTGTATGTAAATTAAAAATTTTTTAAATTAATAAATTCGTAAAATAATAAGTCATTTCTAAAATCTATGCCTGCACACTCTATTCCTGTATCTGTACAGTTAGGAATTGTAAGCAATTCCCTAATCTATTTAAAACTATTCCAAACAAAGAGTTTCAGAGGGGTTTGAACCCTTGTTCATTTTCATATTTTTTAATTCTTTTTTAAAAATTATGTTTGTGAAGGATAATTCTGAAATATAGTAAAAATGCTTTTCAGTGCTAGGTGTGATGGCTCATGCCTATAATCCCAGCACTATGGGAAGCCGAGGCAGGAGGACCACTTGAGGTCAGGAGTTTGAGACCAGTTGGTCAACACAGTGAGACCTCATCTTTACAGAAAAAACCCAAAACCAAAACCAAAAAACCACTTTTCTTGAGAGTTTTCAAGAACAACCCTCTCATTAGAATAGGTCTTTTGAATTACTGTATCAGAAAGTGATCAACCAAGATTTTTTTAAAGGAGTATATCCAATCATATATAACTTCAGTAAAATTTAAAACAATTTTATAATTATTTTCTTTCATCCATTTAAATTATATAAATGTTCATTAAAAATTGTATGCTTACAATGTACATATTACATGGCAGCACACATACGTAATTAATAAATAAGTATATACATATTAGGAGTTTATGCTCAAATATTTTACTGATAGGGGTATGTCATTTTAGAAGTGTGAAAGCCAATGTTCTGGGGGTTCCTGTCTGCTTCCAGGCTGGTCCTAAGAGTCACTTTCTCTGGCCTGACACAGATTAGAATTCCTAGAGAGAGCTGGGGTGGGGGAGGGCACGTGGCAGAGCAGAGAAATGCCAGTCAGGCCCCGAGGCACCTCTAATGGCTTCCTCCAAGCCTGGTTTGAGAGAGTCTGCTGGGAGAGGCCCACACGTACAAAGGGTACTGAACCCCCTCTCAGGGCTGTCCTGGTGGCCATAGCCACTCAGGTTCCCGTGAGGAGG